TATAACGTTTTAATAAATTTAAATAACAAATAAAGAAGTGTTAATATTTCAACGATAATAAATATTTTAATTGTAATTCTAACAAACTAAAATATTTAAAGATTAAACTTTAATTTAAATTTTTTAATTTTAACTTAAACTGCAATTAGTTACTATGACGAAGAATATCGATTTATAGGAGGGCGAATTTACTGTGTCAAATTACCGCCAATAGCTGTCTGGCAAATTTCAATATTATCGAAGTATTTCTTTATTTAAATTACCATTTTACAATTTCATAGCAACTAATTCTAAATTATCTTCATTTTCATTGTACTTTTTCTCTTGCCTTCAACTATTGGCAAACGGCAAGAAAACACAGAAAATATTAAAACTAAAAAGAAAAAAAATTTTAAAATTCTTCGTCTCTGCCCCAAATTATTATTTATGTATATATTACACTTCAAAATCGCGGTTCGATTTCTCTCTCTTATTTTTTTTTTTTTTTGATATAATATCGTGAAAAATAAATACATTGATGATCGCTCGCTCTTTTTCTCCAAACAAAATCCCGAATCGAAACGAAAAAACGTCATCTTCGATTCATCGATTCTCTTTTTTCGCTTTGCTACAATTTTGAAAGGTGACAACGATTAAGATCGACACCGTGCCAGGCGTTTCTTATTTGCGACTCTTTGAATTTCTTTTTTTTTTCACTTTTTTTTTTTTTACGAAATAAACGCGCTAAAAACGACTCGATGCAAAATTATTAAAAAAGAAAAAACACGCATTAATTTCTTTTTCAGAATTTCACATCGTTGTCGCTCCCTCAATCGTTTCTATGTGTTTATTAACTTTTTTTTTTTATTCTTTTCTGTTTTTTTTTTTTTTTTTTTTTGACGATATTAAAACGCCTGGAACGATGTGCAGTCCGATATTAATGGGCGTACTCGTCGTACCGATAATATAAAACGTGAACGTGATTGCCTGGTTTGAATTACAAAGAATGTACGTGATACGCGTTAGTCGCGGATTACAATTTACCGTATTATTTATTTTGTGACCAGTCCGACGATTCGTTCTCATCTATCGTAAATCATTTAGACAGTGATCGACGATGATTTCTTTTTTTTTTTCACATTCGAGACGAATCGTGTCTACACATACGTTTTTCATTTTTTTTTTTTTTCTCCTTTTTATCTTTATTCTTTTTATTCTCCCTATAATTATCACTGCCCGGAGAGAACTTTCGACGATTAAATGAAATTTTTACCTTTACGATCAGGTTTTAATGTATTGTTCTCATTATTTTTTTCTTCTTCTTCTTCTTCTTTTTCTTTTATTCAATTATTTATATCTGCGGTCACGTCTCGCACGGTATATTCGATAAAATCGAAATTTCAGTTTAAAATTCGGGAATTCATTCAGCGCGTTACACCTCGTTATTCACGATAAGAATACTTATATACAATTAATTCATCATAATTGGTTTTTTTTTTTTTTATGTCAGTCGTTATTGAGCAGGACGTTATACTGATCCGACATTGTGCTATGATTAAAACGGACAAATCAACGAGAATGAGCAAAACGGAAGGACAGCGTGAAACGACGATAAAATTAGCACAACACTTTTGCCTTCTTTTTTTCCACCCTTTGTTCTTTCTTCTTTCTCTCTTTTTTTCGCGTGATATCTGTACGCTGTGTTTTTTAACGTCTTTTTAAGTCGTTCCTTTCGCTTTTTTTTTTTTTTTATTATTATTCTTTTTCTTTTTAAATATCGGTGTTATTTTTATCCTCGTCTATATATCGTTCCTCTGATCTAAAATTTTTTTTTTTTTTTTAACGATCGAAGCATCGAACTATACTCAGCGACGAATCGATAATGGCGATACAGGTCGGAAAAAACGAACAATAAAAAGAAAAACGCCAGAAAGGATTCGCTTGGATTTGGATTTTCTTCTTCTATAATTCTTTTGTCGAAAGGAAATCTATTGCGTCTTAGAGATACTCGCGAGAAACGAATTCATCGCATGCAACAAATGAAATAAATACGACAGAACACTTAATTCTACTATAAAGTATACGGAATGTAAAGAAAGGTCTAAAACTTTTTGAGCTTACAGTACACAGGTTGAATTCAGCTCATAAAAGTCAATTTTTTTCAATGAATTACAATTCGAAATTTGTATTTTATTCCGTGATAAATCGAAGATCCAATTTTTTTTAAGATTTAAGAAGTTAACAATGGATACGTAAATACGTAAGTTGAATTTTAATTAATCTTCAAAATAATTTGTTAAAGGAAAAAACCATTTTTAATTTACTTGGAGATAATCTCTTTTGGAAATCTCATTATTTCGTTATTGGATATTGATTATTCGCGAAAGAATTTTTGATAAAATCACAATATTTTAGACTCTTTCTTTGAAACATCCTGTATTATATTTCCGCTTGATGGAAGAATTCTCGTTAACGCGTGTGGTGGATAAACGATACGATTGACAATTAATGAAACAAAGTTTGCACGCAAAAACTAAAATCATTTCAATCTCACCCCCCCTTTCTTTCTCTCCCCCTTTTCTTCCGTTATTATATTTGCAACGCTCTTTTTTTTTTTTCTTTTTTTTTTTCTCTATTTTCTTTTTTTTCCTTTTTTAAAATCCTCTTCCCTCTCGAAGGATACCTTCGACGCACATTTCGCAACACGCTTGCTCGAAAACAAAATTTCTACGCCTTCATATCCCGTGATGGATCGCGTCACGCTCGATCCACTCGGTTCAGTCCATTTTCATATATATATATATATCTATATATATATATATATATATTTTTTTTTTCATTTTTTTTTTCAATTTTTTTTCTTTTTACGATTTTTTCTTTCCACCTATATATTTCACATTGAACAATATCCTCAGTCTCGACTGGTCAATGAGCAATACTTTAGAGATCCCGTGATCTCGAAAAAGTCCAAAGGAGAGCAACGTATGTGTGTATGTGAACGCGTGTGTGTACGTGTGTGAATGCGTGAACGTGTATATGTACGTGTATGTGTGAAATAGAGAGAGAGTTTTTTTGTCATGTGTGATACTACCGCCTCGATCAATAATTAATATCTAAATGTATAATCTCTCATGATAATGCGACTTTTTTTTTTTTATTCTCTTAATATCAGCTAATTGTCTCCTCGAGAATATTACTTTTCTCTTTTATATATATATATTTTTTTCATTTTTTTTTCTTTTTTCATCATCCTTGCAATCATTTTTCTTCTTTTTTTTTTTTTTTTTTTTTTTTTT